CAGGTAAGTACTGTGGCTCAAAGAAGCTAATAAAATTGCTCAAAGTTATAGCTAAAGAGTTGCACAGCCAGAATCTGAAACTAAGTTTGACCAGATGTCAAAGTCAGGGCTTTTCATCAAGTGTGACATCAAAATGAGTATCAAAGATTATACCTATGCCAGTCTAGACCAGGGGTCCTCAAACTTTTTAAACAGGGGGCCAATTCACTGTCCCTCAGGCCATTGGAGGGCCAGACTGCAGGCCCCGGGAAGAGTTGGCTGCTAAGCAGGACAGGTAGCGGTAGCAGAAACACCCGGCAGGCGGATAAATGTCCTAGGTGGGCCACATGTTGCCCGAGGGCTGTAGTTTGAGGATGCCTGGTCTAGACTCTCAGAGACAGAAAGAATCTCATCTCTGTGAGGTAATGGAAGCCTGAGGGAAGGTGGTTGCTTAAGGTTGCACCTGGGTGACTAGTGGTATTATTTGTACCTCCAGATTCCTACCAATTTCTGTGCTGTGAATGGTGTTGGAATATATGATCTTGAAGATGTTCTCCAGTGTTTCAATTCTAATTAGCAGAAAATCCCTCTGATCTCAAACCTGACTGGGGCCCAGCCATGCCTGAAAATCAATGACCATCTGACTTCTGAGCTTGGCAGGGCAAGTGAAGAGTGGTTCTGTCAGTTCTGACCTTTCCCCTACATACTGGCTCAGCTCATATACACAGGCTAACAAGGAGGAGGCATGTCCCAGGCTCATCCCACAGGCACAGAGACCCTTTTTTTCTCCCTCTCTCCCTCATGCCAAATTTAGATATTTTCATTTTGTCTTAGATGTTTGCACAAGATGTAATTTCACTAAAAGAAAAACAACAGATAACTGACATTTACTGTGGATCCATTACAGACCTAACTCCGCACCTGATTTTTTTTTTTTTTTTAACACAGTGGGACCCTCTTCTTCACATACACGCCAGGCCAATTCCAATAATTTAAGGTCTAAATAGTGATTCTTTACATTAGACTAGGCCTACCATAATCTTCTCAAAATTTCT